CAAAGTCCTCAAGTGATACTAGTGGTTTTAAAATGTCCACACTTTTTTTAACTTTCATTCACCCAAAGGTGATGTCTAATTCTCCTCCTTTTCAGTGTGAGTTAGACTAGTGTTCTATTTTAACAAACAGAATATGGCGGAAGTAATGGTGTGTCACTTCTGAGACAGGTAACAAAAGGCATTGTAGTTTCTTCTTTGCCCTTTCTCTTGGATCACTCACGTGACAAGAAAACAGCTACCAATTTGTTTTTTTAAAGGACACTTGATCAGCAGTATGGAGAGGCCCATGTAATTGGAAAATGAAGTCTTCTGCCAATCAGCAATACATTGAGCCTTTCTGTCAGTGAGGAACTGAGGCCTCCTGCCAAAAGCCAATAAGGAACTGAGCCTTCTTGACGAAAACCATGAGTGGACCACCTTGGAAGCAGATCCTCTAGCCCCAGTCAAGCTTTCATATGACTTCAGCCTCAGTTAACATCTTGACCCGTTTTTGATCCTGAGCCAGAACTACCCAGCTAAATGCTCCTGAATTCCTGACCCACAGAAACTGTGAGATAACTGTTTGTTGTTCCAAGCTGTTAAGTTTTGAAGTAATTTATTATGTAGCAATAGATAATATTTAATGATAATAGATAAAAACACACTCAAACTACCAAAGCTTACTCAAAAAAACTACTCAATTGAATGGTCCTATATCTATAAAAGAAATGGAATTCATGGTTAAAAGCTTTCAACAGAGAAAACTCCAGGTCTGGATAGTTTCATTATTGCATTCTATCAAGCATTTAAGAAAGAAAGAAAAAAATGCAAGCTATTAGCTTAATTGTTGCTCCTTTCAAAGTAATATATTTTTCTCTGGCTGCTTTATGCTTTTTCCATCTTTGGTTATCAGCAGTTTCACAATGGTGTAATTTCATGTGGTTTTCATTTTATTTATGCTGTCTGGGGTTTATAAGTGTTCTTGAATCTGAAGTTTGATGTCTCTCAGTTTTGTTTTTAAAAAATTTTTTAAATATATGTTTTGTATTCATTTTTATTTTTTTGTTTTACCCAAGTCCTGCCTTAGGATCTATCCTTCAATTTTGTAAGGTTTTTGATAATTATCAAAACCTTATGTTTCATTTTCTTTCTCTCTCCTGGGACATAAATTTCCTCTGTTAGATATTCTTACTAAATCCATGTCTCAACTTTTGTATTTTTATTATTTTATCTCTCTGCATCATTCTGGCTTTTTTCTTCTAACTTGTATTCATTCACCAATTCTTTTTTCAGCTATGCCTGTCCTGTCAAATCTGCCCATCAAACTCCTAATTTCAATCATGCTAATTTTCAGTTTTAGTATTTCCTTTAAAAAATTTTAATTGCCACAAAAACTGTACATATTTATGGCATATATGGTGATATTTCAATACATATGCTATATAGTGATTAGATCAGGGAAATTAGCATATTTTTCAACTCAAACATTTATCATTTGTGTTGGGAACATTCAGTATCCTCTATTTGGAAATATATATTATTGTTAACTATAGTTATCCTACTGTGTTAAAGAATGCTAGAACTTACTCCTCCCATCTAGTTTTTTCATTTTGAATATAATTTTTAATTCTTTGCCAAAATTCTTGAAATTTTTTTTTAGAAATTTGTCTCTGAAAACTCCAGTATCTAGAGGTCCCTACAGACGTTAAAACAGAAGTTTCTGCTGGTGTTCAATCATGCCTCTTTGTGTGGCTACTTTTTATTGTGTGTTCTACAGTGTACCTGCAAAACTATTTATAAATTTATTTTGATGCCTAGTTTGTTAGTTTTCCACTGCTATGTAACAGTATTACCACAAATCTAGTGTCTTAAGAACAACACACATTTGTTATCTCACAGGTTCTGTGGGTCAGCAGTCCAACCAAGCACAGATTAGCTGGCTTCTTTGTTTCCTGGTCTCAAAAGGCTGGCATCAAGGTGTTAGCCAGAGCTGAGGTCTCAGCTAAGGCTCCAGGGAAGCAGGATTCACTTCCAAAATAACAAGTTGTTGGCAATCTTCAGTTCCTAGCACACTACTGGAACAAGGATCTGTTTTTTTGTTGACTACTGGCCAGAGGCCACCCTTAGTTTCTGGCCATGAGGCCCTCTCCAAAGGCTGGTTTACAGCATGACAGCTGCTTCTTCAAAGTCAACAAGGAGTCTCTTAATAAGATGGATATTAGAAGTTGGTGTAATCATGTCCATCTCATCATCTTCATGGTAGTCTGTGGATTAGAATCAAGTCATAAGAGTCTCCCTCCACACAAGGAATACCAAGGGACAGGGAATATAGTGGCCACTTTAGCATCTGCCACACCTAGGATGTTAATTTCTTCCTGAAAAGCAAATGTAGATTTGCTTCTGCCATGCATCTGGGAGCTCTAAAAATCTTAGGTAAACTCAGTCAAATTTCAGAGACAGAGAGTATTTGAAGCTGGGCTGCCATCTCTTTGAAGTCCTGCTTACCTCTGGACCACTGTAAATCCTAATGAGTAGTCATTTGGGATCCTCACCCCAAGTAAGCGAAAGGGTTTGCCTGTGCAGGTCCCTTCTTCCTTGTCCCATAAGGTTACCAAAATGGCCATTCAACATCGCAGCAATCACTTACCACTTACAGAATTGGCCAATACAGGGGAAAAATAGCTCCCCTACCAAAGTTTCTGTTTCCTTAGGAACACTTCATTGTTGCCAGCTTAGGTGTTTTTAATTAATTTATTTTTAGTTTGTCTTTTTATTTTAGAGATGGGGTCTCCCTATGTTGCTGAAGCTGTTCTCAAACTCCTGGGATCAAGTGATCCCCTTGCCTTGGCCTCCCAAAGTGCTGGGATTAAAGGTGTGAGCCACCGCACCCAGCCCAGATGTTTTAAAAATTTTGTTCAGCTGCCAGCTTTTCTCAATGTTCTCAGAGAAGATCTAGGACAAATTTCTTGGTCCACCATTATCATAAATGAAAGCTCTTATTTTTACTTATTGTAGAGATGGGATCTCCCTATACTGCCCAAGCTAATCTTCGACTCCTGGCCTTAAACGATGCTCCTGACTTGGCTTCCCAAACTACTGGATTACAGGTGTGAGCCATTGTGCTCAGCCTACTTTATGTCCAGCCTTTGGAGAGGGCCACATGGCAAGAAATTAAGCGTGGTTTCTAGCCAGCAGTCAGCAAGAAAAAGATTCTTGTTCTAGTAGTTTGCTAGGAACTGAATACTACCAACAACACTGTTATTTTGGAAGTGAACTCTGCTTCAGTGGAGCCTCAGCTAAGATCTCAGCTCTGAGCACATCTGAAACACAGATGTGTTTCAACATAATCTAACCTAAAGCAAAACAAAGAAAAATATTAGAGAGTACTAATTATATTGAATATTTCTATTTCTGGAGCTTCCCATAATTTGGAAAATACAGTATTATTAAATACTGCTTTTTTTTTGGTTTTTTTTTGTGTTTTTTTGAGATGGAGTCTCGCTCTATAGCCCAGGCTGGAGTGCAGTGGCACAATCTTGCTTCATTGCAACCTCCGCCTCCCAGGTCCCGGTTCAAGCAATGCTCCTGCCTCAACCTCTGGAGTAGCTGGGATTACAGGAATGCGCCATCATGCCCAGCTACTTTTTGTATTTTTAGTAGAGATGGGGTTTCACCATGTTGGCCAGGCTGGTCTTGAACTCCTGACCTCGTGATCTGCCTGCCTCGACCTCCCAAAGTGCTGGGATTACAGGCGTGAACCACCACGCCTGGCCAAATACTGCATTTTTATGGCTAAAACGTGAATCTAGACATTAGCATGGATTTAGGAAATGTTTTAGATCGGTTGATATTTTACTACTATCCCTATATGAAAGTCTTAAATATTGAGTATTCCTATAAATTATACACAGTATTGAATTGCTCAAGACTGCACTGCCAAATAAAAACAACACAGATTAAACTAGCAAACTGTAGTTGGCAATGGTGCTATGATACAGTAAGAATATTTGAAGGACATTAACATGTACTTCATTTCAAAAGGAAAGCCTGAAATTGATGAAAACTTCAATAGATACTCCATCCCTATCTTTAAAACACACTGATTTCGGAGGATACGATATAAATTTGGCAGCCTTTTTTTCTTTTGTAAATAAAGCATCAGGCTTTATTTTTAAAGATCTGTAACTACTGGATATACTTTTAAAATAAATAGGCTCATGTCTGTAATTCCAGCACTTTGGGAGGCCAAGGCAGGAGGTTCACCTGAATCCAAGATTTTGAGATCAATTTGTGCAAAGTAATGAGACCTCATCTCTACAAAAAATAACTAAACATTAGCCAGCATGGAGGCGGGAGCCCGTAGTCCTATCTCCTTAGGAAGCTGAGGTGCGAAAATCACTAGAGCCTGGGCAATTGAGGCTGCAGTGTGCAGAGATCAAGTCACTGCAATCCAGGCTAGGTGACAGAGATCTTGTCTCAAAAAAGAAGGAATACCTAAGAGAATAAAATATGCCTACTTGTTTCAGGAATAAATTAAAAATATAAAACCTATCAACTACCTTTAGTGGAGACCACTAGCTGTAGCTACCCCAATTCTGTCCTTTTTCCCCCCAACTTTTCCTGGGCACAGGGCTACATGGAACGAAAGCTGTATTTTGCATCCTTCCTTGATATTTACAAGTGGGTCATTACGACTAAGTTTAGCCAATGACATTTAAAGAGAAGTGCTGGGTAAAACTTCTGGGAAATTTCTTTAGACAGGGGATGGAACTTTCTCACTGCCCTCCTTCTTGCTGGCCAGAGAGCTTTGTGAGGGCTAGAGCTTCACCAGCAACCTTGGATCATGGGTTGAATGCCAAGTGCTGAGGCTGGTAGAGTAACACAGCAATCTTGAAATATTTACCTCTCGAATTTTCATGTGAGAGGAAAAAAAATTTTCTTGTTTTTTTTTTTTTTTTTAAGCCTCTGGTATTTAGGATTTTAGTTTTATGCTGCTGAACCTAATCTTAAGTGATGATACATTTTTCAATTGCTGGCATATTATTCCTTTATTAGAAATTGTAAATGAGAAATTATATCAACACCTGAGGACCAGACTACAACAGAATATTCCATAGGCTCAAGATTTTGAGACATTCTGGAAAGAGTTTTCTGCAAAGTATATTCTTTCCGTGGCATGGCAACATCATCGTTCTTTAAAAAAGTGACTGGACAGACATCATTTCCACCATCACCAATATAAACAATTTGTGTATAATACACTCCCTGTTGCAGCTGTTTATCTAAAAATTCTATCAAAACTGCCTTTTTGCAAAGATTCTTTGGGCATCGATTGCAAGAATGAGTATGATAATTTTCCACAGTGAGATGACCATTGCTATTAAAAGCTGCTGGATTTGTAAACACTTTATCAAACACGTCATGAAAACTGGCAGCTTCTAAAACCCAGTCTATGAAGACCGAATTTGAATCTGAAATAATGATGCAATCAAATTTATCCTTATTCCTTCTTATAAAGTTGAAGAGTTCCACCATCCCTGGAGTGAAAGGCATTGATGTCACTGCTCTTTTCATTTCATGTTCTCTAACACCTTTATCTCCCAAATACTTAAAGACTCTGCCCATAAATTCTGTCCAAAATCCTTTTTGGTAAGAATCACTTAGTTCAGTAGGAAGCTTTTTGTTTGGAGCACATTGTACAATCCAGGTGTCACTATTGTCATCTATGATTGTATTGTCAAAGTCAAAAACCAGCAAAATTTTCATGGTTCCAGAAGATTTGGATTACCCTGAAAAACAAGAAATATTATTCCCTAAACATACTCTGTTTATGTGTCTAGATAAAATATTTATTTAATAAACATGACTAAATGTTAATCTGCTAAAACAAGGAATATAAACAAAGTGGTTAAGTATTAAGACCACTACCTAACTAATTTTCCCTAAGAAGCAAAATTCATATTTGAGTACGAAATATATAAAAAGAACACTCATAGTATTATCGTGTTCCTGGGGGCATGTTTCTTATAGAAGTTATAAGACAGAAAAAAATGCAGTTTTACTTTCATCAAATCATCAATCACAATTACACTTATTAGATTAAAATATTTACAATAATCCTCATATTAACAGGTCACGTATAACAGACTATATACTAAACAAAATTCTGAACAAACTCAACATAACATGAAATCCTGCAAGATGTAAAATAACTTTTTTAAAAAAGGTATTTACTAACCAAAACAAGCACTGGGGAAAGGATTCCCTATTTAATAAATGCTGTTGGAAGAACCAGCTAGCCATATGCAGAAAATTCAAACTTGACCCCTTCCTTATACTATTTACAAAAATGAACTTCAGATGGATTAAACACTTAAGTGTAAAACCCAAAACTATAAAAGCCCTAGAAGAAACTAGGCAATACCATTCAGGACACAGGCACGGGCAAAGATTTCATGACAAAGATGCCAAAAGCAAATGCAACAAAAGCAAAAATTGACAAATACTATCTAATTAAGCTAAAGAGCTTCTGCACAGCGAAAGAAACTATCAAGAGAGTAAACAGACAACCTAGAAAACGGGAGAAAATTTTTGCAATCTATCCATATGACAAAGGTCTAATATCCAGCAAATATTAAAAAGTTGAAAAGTTCCACCATTCCTGGAGTCAAAGGCATTGATGTCACCACTGTTTTCATTTTACCTACTCTTTCGCCTTTATCTCCCAAATATTTAAAGACTCTGCCCTTAAAATCTGTCCAAAATCCTTTTTGATAAGAATCACATAGTTCTGGTGGAGTGCGGTGCCTCACCCCTGTAATCCCAGCACTTTGGGAGGCCAAGCCAGGCAGATCACAAGGTCAGGAGTTCAAGACCAGCCTAGCCAACATGGTGAAACGCTGTCTCTACTAAAGATACAAAAAATTAGCTGGGTGCAGTGTTGGGCACCTGTAATCCCAGCTACTCGGGAGGCTGAGGCAGAAGAATCACTTGAACCCAGGAGACAGAGGTTGCAGTGAGCCAAGATCACACCATTGTACTCCAGCCTGACAGGGCAAGACTCCATCTCAATTAAAAAAAAAAAAAAAATGTAGTTTCTTGTTAAGGAACTTAAACAAAGCTACAGGAAAAAAACAAATAGCCCCATTAAGAAGTGGGCAAAGGACACAGACAATTCTGGAAACAAGACAATACATGAGGCCAACAAATATGTTAAAAAAAAGCTCAACATCACTGGTCATTAGAGAAGTGCAAATTAAAACCACAATGAGATACCATCTCATACCAGTTAGGATGGCTATTATTAAAAAGCTAAAATACAACAGATGCTGGCAATGTTGTGGAGAAAAAGGAATGCTTTTATACTGTTAGTAGGAGTGTAAATTAGTTTAGGCATTGTGGGAGACAGTGTGACAATTTCCCAAAGACCTAGTGGCAGAAATACCACTTGACCCAGCAAGCCCATTACTTGGTATATACCCAAAAGAATATAAATCATTCTATTTTTTTTTTTTTTTTTGCAATTAGGCTTAAAATTTTAATTCACATTTACTTCTGAGGACTCCTCAAGCTTCAGCCGTGCGAGGACTAGTCGGCCTCTGGCTGTGTAACTAGAACAGGGCTATCTTTCCTGCTGCAGTTTGGGCTCGTTGTAGGATCGGCCTGGTTGGATGCTTTGGGTTCTGCTGCTGATCTGCTTTTCCTGGGCTGCTGTGGTGGATCCACGGGCTGATGCCTGCAGCTTTTAACAGCAGTTAGAGTGGACGACATTGCAATATGGGGCCCATCCACGTTGGCTCTCATGTGTTTGGGTTCCACTTCTTGACCCCGAATGAATCCCCAGGTTTAAAGGGATGCACAGGATCTGTGAGACTGCTAGGTAATTTTGTCTAACCCATAACCTGCATGGTTATGCCTAAGGCCAGCCTTTGCTTTCTCAGGGTTAATTCTCCTAGCTCTCTGAGGTCGTCTTTAATTTGGGTCATGATTGAGGGTGGGCAGCCAAACAGTTTCATTGGGTGAATACCCAGGTTGTTGGGTGGTGGTACACCTGACTCGGAGGAGGACCATGGGCAGGACCTGACCCCACCGCAGATGGGTTTCCTGGCAGAACTTCCTTAACACCTGCCTGAGCATTCCATTCATACGCTCACCCCTTTCTGAGCCCTGTGGGCGATGGGCGGTATGCAGTTTCCAGCTTATTTTTAACAGCCGTGCTAGGTCTTGGGCAATTTTGCCTACCAATGCTGGGTCACTGTCTGATTCTATAGTAGCCTAAGTCTGGGGATAATGTCTTTTAGTCACATTCTAGTTACTTCTCATGCCTTTTCTGTCCTGGTGAGGAAAGCCTGTACCCAACTAACTTACAGAGCTGCCTTGGGCAGGAGCTGTATAATCCACAAGCAAATTTTCACAAGCTGCTGCCTCTACTTCTTGAATTCCTGGGGGCTGGATTGGCCCCTGCTGTGGTCTGTTCTGGGTGCAGGTTAAGTACTACTCACAAATGGCCTGGGAGATGACAGCAGGCCATGGCACATTTTTTTTTTTTTTTTTTTTTTTTTGGGGTTGAGTTTTTATTACTGTAACCAAAAATAGTAGGAGGGGCAGGCTAGAATGAAGACAAGAAAGAGAGAATATTTGACAAAGGATTATACTGCATATAAAGATACATGCATACATATGTTCACTGAAGCACTGTTCACAATAGCAAAGACATAGAATCAACCTAAATGCCCATCAATGATGGACTGGATAAAAAAATGTGGTACTTATACACCATGCAGCTATACTATGCAGGAATACTATGCAGCTATAAAAAGGAATGAGATGATGTCCTTCACAGGGACACGGATGGAGCTGGAATCCATTATCCTCAGCAAACTAATGCAGGAACCAAAAAACAAAAAAAGAAACAAAAAGCCACTATATGTTCTCAGTTATAAGTGGGAGCTGAATCATAAGAACACATGGAAGGGAACAACACACACTGGGGCCTGTTGGTGGTTGGGAAGTGGGAAGAGACAGAGCATCCGGAAGAACAGCTAGTGGATGCGGGGCTTAATACCTAGATGATGTGATGATCTGTGCAGCAAACCATCATGGCACATGCTTTCCTATGTAACAAATGTACACGTCCTGCGCATGTACCCCTGAACTTAAAAGTAGAAAATAAAAAAACTATATAAGGTATTTAGCTTAAAATCAGTTTCTAAATGCCAATATTATAATTAAATGATTGCTGACACGCTATATATTCTAAACAAATTACTTGAGAACTGGAGGCCAATTTAATTCTTTCAAAATAGAAGTAACTTAGTTAAGAGTTTTCACATGTTTATTTATATCTGCTGTAGATAGTTTAGCTCTGGGGGGGGGGCGTGCCAAAGAATTTGAATACACCTGAGTAATCATACTGTTTATGGGGTGACAATCACTTGTGTCTCTGTTTTCATTAGAAGACAGTGGAGGTGATTAATTACAAATCTCAAGAGAAACGGAAAAAATAAGCTAGTCAACTGATGGTAAGAATAAAAATCATTTATTAAAAAACTATATAGAATATCCAGAAAAGGATATAATTAATGTGTATAAACAGATAATAATAATTTTGAGAGTCACTATATGCCAGGCACTGGCCTAAAAACTTTACAATATCATATCATTCAATTGTCACAAACCTATTAAATAGGAATAATTATTATCCTCATCTTAAAGATAAATAAACTGGATCTGAAAGTGATTAGGTGTTAGTAAAGTGCCAGAGCTGGAATCTTAGACTCAGGCTGATTTGATTCCCTTCATGCTTTTAAGTATCAAATTATAGTGCTAAAAAATAGAATATTTAATGACTACTCAGTTTAAAAATGAAATACTAAGTAGGTCACTTTGGCAGAAAGGTATTTAATTACATAAAAACATTCATTAGTTTCAAAGTACACACTAACCATAACACCACCTCTGTGATCTGCTTTATAACCATTTTGAGGTTTTTGCAAGAAATCCAAAAAAGGCATAGAACCCCACCAATAAGAAAAAGATCAATTAAAAATGAAAAACATGGCATTTAACCACACATATTCTCCAGTTTATAACCCAGTAGTGAAGACAGAATAGAGCTCTTGATCACGTAATACTAAGAATTCTATGTCTCTTAATTTAGCATATCTAGAGAATAATTAACCTACAGGGGCATCACCTGTTGCGTGAATGTGGCTCCTACGTAATATTTTGTTACTCTGGATCCTTCTATCACTAAATGCCTAATCCAGCTGCTTCTGACTGGCTCTCTGAGATTTAAATACAAAATTCACTTTCCCACAGAAACAGTGTAATAAATAATAAGGCATAACTGACAATCACATGAGTACTGTAACAAGGCACATTTTAAATTAAACATGCTTTCTGAGAATTCTGAATTTATAATTAAAACAAATTTCAAATGTAACTCACTGCTGTTTAAAAACTGCCTCAAGCCTAAACTTAATTAGCCATAAATTACTGAAATTCCTGAACTATTAGCCTCAAAATAGCATGAGACTGAGGTAACATAGTTTCCTGCTGATCTGAAAGTGCACTTTAAAAAATTTCACATCTTTTTCTATTAGTCTTTTCTCACCACTCAAAATAAACCTTTATAAAAATACTTACCCAAATTAGTAATTCCAAGACAATCTTACTTCAGCATTGGGATTAGGACAAACAATCACAACAATGTTCAATTTTAAACACCAGCCAGTTGTTTTCAAACATTACTCCCATTCTATACAGGGAACAAAGTCTTCCGGTTTGCAGCAAAAGAATGGAAACTTCTTAACTCCTAAAATTAAGAAAAGTATTTCAAAAGCTTTAACATTTGTGTTTTGTAATTATGTTGTCTTTCCTTATATCAGAAAATCATCTCTTGGCAATAGGATAAACAAAGTTTTGATTAAACAAAATAGGAAATGTTATATGAAAATAAGTTTTTGTCCAGTGGATAAAATCAAAGTGTTAAGCTGATTGAGATTTTCAGAGTCCACTTTTTCTTTTTACTTGTTTAATACTAGCGGAACTCCACATTCTGTTGTCAATAGACATTCAGAAATTTAGTGCTGTACTTAAAATGTCTGCAAAAATTAAGGATATGCACAAAGATTTAGTTTTAAGAATGAAAATCTATTTTGAAACCAATTTGTTAAAATTCCAAAAACAGTTAACTGTTCTCCTCAAAAGCACAATCTGCATCTATTTGGCATGTCTGCAATGCTTCCATAGTGTAACAATATCCTATGTACTTTACACAAGAATTAAAATTAGAAACCACACAGACAATCAAGAATTGGGAATTAATAAGAGATGTATGTGATAGCATATAATAGAATATCCAGCCAGTCAAAGTTAAGGTTTTCAGTTCAAATTAAATAAGCAAGTCACAAAATAGTGTGTACAGTATAATTCTGGTTTTGTTTTAGAAAATGTTTACTTGTGCAGTGGGATGGTTATGGTTGGTTCAACCATAGTCCACTATTTCTACATTAATTTTGTAATAAAACTTTTTTCCTTCTCAGAATAATTTAAACTGTTTCAGATCAGAGTGCCTTCTTAAATGCACAGCAAAGAAAAAACAGTGGTGGGTATAGGAGACATAACTCTAGATTGAGCTGGTTGTGACAAGCCACAGGTTGGAGCTGGAATCTCGAGTCTGAAGTCAAATGATATCAAATTATATCTGACCACCATGTCAAATCGGCAAGTAATTGACATCAAATCATGAGATTCAATACTTTTTACAACCAATTTTGTTAAAATTCCAGAGAATTTTTGTTGGGAGACAATTCTCCCTGTGTCTCTGGTGGTTCTGAATGTCTTACAAGCACGGCACTCACTGACTGTCCTTTGCCCTAGACTATTGTCTCAAGGATGTTTGTACAGTGGACAGCCTTGAAAAACATACTTTTTTGTCCAAATGATAAAGATTTGGGTTCCCTAAGCTCAGGGCTCCTTTCCTGTAATTCAACACACTCTACATTTAGGTGACTTCTTGCCCACTTTACATCATCCTGTCGGAACTGGGAGTTGAGGGAACTCAGGCAAAATTGCTGTTAGTCTGGCTACCACTGGGAGTAATTCATCTCTGAAATGAATAGGGATGAATGTGTCTTCCATGAAACTGTGTCAGGCTAAGTTAGCTTGCAACAAAGTAAAATCTCTGATTCTTCCCAGTTCTTGACACTTTTTAAGCTATGCTTCCAAAAACCTACCAGCGCTGTATGTGCACAAACTCATTTCTGTCTACAAATATTTTAATTCTTCCATACTTACCAGCATTATTATGTGGAACATCTGATCGAAAAGCTGAAGAAAAATAGCACGACTATGTGTTAGAACTTTCGTTATTAAAATCGTTTTGTTCTTTCATTTTGAGTGACTCCAATTTGGCGCATAATGTGTAGACGTCAGAGCCAACTTGTTAGTGATGAAGTTATCTGTACATCAATGCGTTAGAAAAGATCTTTTGAAACCAAGCGAGCAGCTACTCCTAACAGATTTCCGTGGTCATGTCTTTACCAAGAAATTTAAATATCTCAAAGGCACTAACATGCATGTTCTAAACATATCATTACGTTTTAACATTCCTATTTAAAAAAAACTTAGCCCCATCTAGTCCTGACCGTGCCTCAGAAACCAAAGGATTTAAAAACATCGTTTATGTCAACGAATCCGCGGGTTTTTATAGATAAGGGAGGGCTCTGCTCCTCATATTCCACCCGCGAGATGTGCGGACGCACACACACGCCTAGGCCTCGCGGGCTCACACACCTGCCGGCTCCACCCTGAGGGTAGGCATGAGACCCAGTTGGGGGTCGTCCCTCGTGGGGCGCGCACCAGGTGGGGATGGGAGTAGCAGGCAGGGTGGGGTACCAGGGACTTCTCACTGACCCAGGCCCGCCGTCGGCAGCCGCCCCGGCGCCCGTGACGCTCCTGCGGATTCAGTCCTTTGACCTGGCCCCACGCCTGCCCGCTAGGCCGCCCCACTCACAAGCCCGGCTCACAGGCGCAGGCGCCTCTCTTCTCTAGCCCGACTGCCAACTACATCGCCTTCCTCGTTCCTCCGGGAAGGCTGGCGTCACTTCCGGCGGCGTTGCCGAGCAACCGCATGGTTCGAGAAACACTCTGCTGGCTGGAGTCGGCGGCGTATGGCGGCGCCGGAGTCACTTTTCCAGATTTGGAAGCACCATGGGTACCTCGTCCGAAATACTGGTACGGTTTGGACGGCGCTGTGGACAATCGAAGGAAAGCACAGGTGAGCTAAACTGACCCATTCAGGGACAGGGATTGTTTCTGGACCCCCGGCATGGAGAGGTGAGGATGCCGAATGAGAACTTCAGTTGCCTTTTGAAATGAACAGCAACAAGTTGAAAGCATCTTCAGTAAGCATCTTTGGGCTCTGTGGAAGTTAGGCCGTCTTGCCCTTAGGTGAATGGGTGGAGGAGGGAAACAGGGAGTGGACGTGGAAGAATGTTTACAAAAATAGGGGTGGAGGAAAGATAGGAAATCAGAGACACCCCCCCCACTCCCATCCCCCCCCGCCGCACCCCACACCGCCCCCCTCCCAACTCCGCCCCAGGTTGACCTGAAACCGCGCAGTTGCAGCTCTGAGAGTCTGGGCTTTGTTAAATTTACCGCACACTTAAAGTTTGTTATTCACTGATTCCGTTGAAATATCTCTTGGAAATATAAGTGACCTCTTTAGACTCTTGGCTCTGCTGCAAGCCTGCTGATTGGTCTTTACTAAGTAGTCTCTGAAGGAAATATCTCCATTTCCTCCTCTCTGAAGTAAAGATCTCTAAGTTAAATGCTTTCATAGAGTTAAAAAGAAAGTCAGACGACATAAAGTACTGTAATTCAGATGACCTGTTATAACAATTTGATTTTGGAATAGAAATAGACTTCTAAAGAACTCTATCAAATCTAGCTACGACAGTTTAAGTCTGTAAATTAGCAATTAATGTTGTCATGGTGACAGCTAGACCTTTGGCAGTTTGAAGTATCTTCATGTCATTGCCCAAGCTTCTGAAGCAATAGTGCCGCCTACACCAGATGCAGGGTGAGAGCCAGCCATTCTTCACTACGGGATATTTATGCAGTGGAGGTTTTATGAGGTTAGCAGCGGACTTTTGTCATGTAAAAGGAGAGAGACAGTACTAATATGACAAGTATTGAAAAAGCACAATTACTCCCACACATTCACTTTCCTGCATATGCATTTCTGCATTACCTGATTTAGATTCACCTAATAGTTGTTAACTAATGTTTGTGGCACCTGGCTCAAAAGCTTCCATCTGAGTCTCATTACTAATTTTTAATCTCCACTTGGAGGGGAAGGTTAAGTAGGAGAGGGGTTCAGAGATGGGTGCAGCTATTTGTAAAACAAAAAATTTATAAAGATTTAGTGGGGTGACATCGGCCAGAATGGTGAAATAAGATCTATGCCTGAAATCCTCTCCTTCATAAAATCAACAAGAACAGTGGCAAAAATCATCAATATCAGCTTTTTCAGAACTCTGGAAATTAACCAAAGGTTTGCAACAATCTGGGGAGTGTTTACTAAAGGAAAATAGCTGAATTTTTGTAAGAACAGCAAGGTTTTTGGCATTTTAACTTGCCATAGTCCTATACTTTTCTCCCAGCCCCATGGCAGCCTAGATAACCACAGCAATCACAGTAAAAAATAGTGACTTAGCAACTTATAAAGGGTACAAAACAGAATTTGACCCACTCCAAAGCCAGATAACTGTTATTATTTGACATGACTGATAGCTCCTTGGAAAATCTCACTCATGAGGCTTATTATTCTTTGGTCTGACTTCAAGCTTACCAAGTATGTTTGTCGAATGATCAGTGGCAATTTTAAATATCACAGCTACCTGAGATATTGCTGTAGTTTGAATGTGTCCTTTAAAAAGCATGTGTGGGAACTTAATCCCCAATATAATAATGTTGGGAGGAAGGGACCAATGAGAGGTGATTAGGCCGTTAGGACAGAGTAAAGGGATTAATGCCATTATCTTCGGAGTGGGTTCATTATAAATGTGGGAAGGTTGGCCTTCTTCTGCTCCTACTATTACTACTACTACTGCTGCTGCTACTACTACTACTACTACTACTACTACTGCTACTACTACGGCTACTGCTGCTACTACTACTACTGCTGCTGCTACTACTACTACTACTGCTGCTACTACTGCTACTACTACTACTGCTGCTGCTACTACTACTACTGCTGCTACTACTACTACTGCTGCTGCTACTACTACTACTGCTACTACTACTACTGCTGCTGCTACTACTACTGCTGCTGCTACTACTACTACTGCTACTACTACTACTGCTGCTGCTACTACTACTGCTGCTGCTACTACTACTACTGCTACTACTACTGCTACTGCTGCTGCTACTACTACTACTACTGCTGCTACTACTACTGCTGCTGCTACTACTACTACTGCTACTACTGCTACTACTACTGCTACTACTACTGCTGCTACTACTACTGCTGCTGCTACTACTACTACTGCTACTACTGCTACTACTACTGCTACTACTACTACTACTGCTGCTGCTACTACTACTACTACTGCTGCTACTACTACTACTGCTGCTGCTACTACTACTACTGCTACTACTACTGCTACTACTACTACTGCTGCTGCTACTACTGCTGCTGCTACTACTACTGCTGCTGCTACTACTACTACTGCTACTACTACTGCTACTGCTGCTGCTACTACTACTACTGCTGCTACT